AATACYCATTTTCTTATTCAAAACTTTATTCAAATTTAAGTTGAATATTAACCTTGATATAGCCAGGTGCAGAAAACATCTCTGATGTTTCTAGATCTGCTAGCAGCAGCAAAAATTCCTTTCTGCTGGAACACCCTAGCTAGAAAGGAACATGGAAAAAAAAATAATACGAAGTTGAGGGGAGAAATATTTGAGAATAAAACCTGACAATCCCAGTGAAAAGACCCCCAAACAAACTTGGTCTGAAAAATCAACAAGTTGTGAATTCACCAATTTGAGGAGGAAGGATAATTACTGATGAATTTAACTTTTTTCTGCTTGTTTGGGGTTTTTCAGCTTTGCTGTGGTCGGTGTTTCCATTCAGCTGCAAATGAGGAAWTCCTTTCTCTGCTCTGCATTTTTCCCACAGCAGATCCGGGAGGATGCAGCTGAGAGTTACTTTYGACTTRGTGCACGATCAGGAGCSAGCAATTAGCTGGAAGCAAATATTAATTCTGCTWTTCCCCTTCATTTGCAGGCACTGAACTCCATCCTGCAGTGAACATTGTCAGCTACAAATGTCAGGTTCAAATCTCTTCCTCACAGGAATTTCAGAATATCCCTGATGCTCTCTCATTACAGATTTAAAAAAATAAAAAAGCAGACAATAGATTTTGATCGAGTAATAGTGTCAGGCACATTTTGATATTCCCACATATTTACGCGCGAATGGCCAAAGGAAAATCCTTTTTTTTTTTTTTTTTTTTTTTTTTTTTTTTTTTTTTTTTTTTTTTTTTTTTTTTGTGCAATCTTGTAATTTCTTTGTCAGTTGAGAAGGTAGATAATAAATATTGGCAATACATGAGACTCGGCTCTGCTAAGAGCTACCCTTGCTATCTCGAACAGCAGCAGTTATTAATTTCCAGACATAATCAAGTGATTTATATTCATGATTATGGTTCAAACCRTCCTGACACTTGCTCCTTGCACATCAGACGCCTTCTCGCTTCGTGCTTTTTGTGTTCAGCAGCGATTAAATGAGAACGAGAAGCTTTGGGGGTTTTTTTAGGAGTATTGTTGTAAGTTTTCTCCTCTGATTTCAGGTCTTAGCCACTGAGTCATCACCTGAGCAGTGTGTTCTGCACTGACTTTCTGTAATTATTGTTGTGTTTTAGAGATTCACAGAAAGTCATTTCCTCATTCGCACTGAGAACTGCAAAATTTATTCTTCTTTCTGGTGATCCATTGGAATTCTTACCTTTGTAATCATTATCCTGATTAACACTGGCCTCTAACTTGGCCTAATAAAAATMATAAATAATTTGGATTCCATTCTAATGTTCATTTACTCTGCCATATTTTGATTGCTCAGAGTGGTATAGCAATGAGGATAAACATCCATTGTTTTGACATAAAGAAACATATTGATCCACAAAAAATAATTTCTATACAGTGTCTATTTGCATTTCTTTTAGAAGAACTGCACATACTTTGAAAATGAGCTTCAAATATGTTCTGCTTCTCCAGTGCAACGAAATGACTCAGTTGATATTATTTCTCTGTCTGTTTGGTAAACAAAATCAAAATATTTTGGTTGTCAATTACTAGAAAATGAAAACTGCTTTTGTCTGAGACGGAGCTCACAGCATCTGATCTTGAATTGTGATGTGCTTTGGGAAAATGACACAACATGGGATGAATCCAAATTCATTCTCTCCAGAGTCTCGTTGGAGGAAAATCTATTTTCAATGCATTTGAGAGGCTTCACAGCTCCTTGCCTTGCTCAGCTGAATGTCTGGAGGAGACTCCAGGTCTCCAAAAACAGCTCGGCTTTTTCCTCCCTTGGATATGAGCAAAGCTACCATGGAGAGCTCCCGGTTTGGAGCGCGGGGATTGCAGGGCGGGCTCAGCCACGAAAAGGTGGAATGTGGGGATCACAGGAGTGAGTTCCCTCCGGATCTGTGCCAGATTCCCTTCCAAAATATTATTATTATTATTATTATTATTATTATTATTATTATTATTATTATTATTATTATTATTATTATTATTATTATTATTATTATTATTATTAATACCAATAATAATAATATCAATAATAATACTAACGTTCCTGACTGGAATGGTCACTGCAAACAGATTCTTACAGGAATTAAGGACTGCAACTGTAATTTACATTAAACATTTGACACCAAAACAGTGAGAAGACAAATCTTATTAATTTGCAGAAAAAAGTATCAGGAATTTTTATCTCTATTTCTATTTCCAAGCATGGTCCCTTAGCTGAAACCCCAATTATGAGCAGAGCTGACTGAGGGAAWACAAGCAGGGAGCTCACCCTGCCCAGCTAACGAGCTTTGCAAGTTGTGTGGGATTTAATTAAAAATGGACCTGTTCAAAGCAAAGAGATAAATGTCTCTTTTTAAATGACTGCATTTTTAACAGAACCTAATTTCCTAGATATCTTTCCTGGGCCATTCTCTCCAGCCTAGCCTGTACCTCTGGGCTTCTAACAATTCTTCTTCCCAGCTTTTTGCCAGAAAGGCATCAGCTCTGAATTCCTGGAAACCAAAGCAGGACCTGGCAGAGATCACGCTGCTCCAGCTCTGGATTTAAAGGAGCTCTTTTTGTCTTTATGGCCTCTCAGTGTCCCTGAGGGAGGAGCCTTCCCTGTTCCTCCTCCTCAGAGCTGCATCTCACACCTCACTGTGGAAGCCCTGATCTCTTTTATGGAGAGATGAAAAAGCACCCAGATGGGAAAACCTCCCTGAAAACCTTCGTGTTCCCTGGGGGATGGATTGGAGAGCTTTGGGGCACCATGGATTCAACAAATGGTTTTATGGATGGCAGGGAGATTGTTGAATGAAACCCATGGAATACACTGTGCTGACCCCAGAGTTTTCCTGGAACAGATAAATGAAATGGAGAAACTTTGGGAAACCCAGTTAGGGGTGAAGAATTCATATTTAGGTTACAATTGAAGCCTCTTTGCTAAAAAAAATTTCACTTTTTTAAACTTTTCTGTGATAATCCTTCATATTTTTCATCTACTTTTGACATTTTTTATTAGCATCCCATGAAATCTGTTTATATTGATTTAAGGTTCATATTTTATAGTTAATCCCAATAAAAATTTTAATGGTCAGAGATTTGATTCTCTCCTCCAATGAGTTCAACAGCTCTTTCCCTCTTTTGGGAATGTTTAATGACTCCTTGTGATGATTAAAGCAGAAATAATAGACAAACCATTATGAGGGCTCCACGAAGGTTAAAGTAACAAAGATATTGGAAAAGAAGATATTAAAAAAACCCAGTCATGCAGCCTGGATGAGCTGATTGGCATTTTATGGCTGCTTTTCTCTCCTCTGCAGGATCCGATGCTTCACGTTGAACCCCAATATTATTAATTAACCAGCCATCCTCAGGGCTGAAATAATGGCAGGGACTGGTCCAAAGAGTGCCTGCAGATTGCTCGTGGCTGCCATTGGCCCAGGGCTTTGCAAACACAGCTGAGCACATTTAATAGCACCTGTGATAGCACAGCTGATAACAATAGCTCATTACAACAGCTTATAAAGCCCCAGGGCTGGGGCTCAACTTCATTGTCAGGAGTGGCAGATGAAGAAACCACAGGGGCTTTAAGGTATGGAATTCCTTTTATTGCTTCTGAGGTGCTGGAGAGCTTTATCTCGCTGGGGAGCGCTCATTAAGCAGCAGAGTTTAGATTTATTAATTATAAAATCTTAATTCCGATGTTTGAGGGTTCAGAGGGAGACCATGAGAAGAAACAACTGAAATTCAATGAGATAGCTGGGGAGGGGGGAGGCCTTAATCACAAGAACCTAAATAAAATCTTACTTTTCAGAAAAATGCTTATTAGATTTTTTTTTATTTAGGATTGCATCATCTGGGGCAACACAGCAAAAGGGGTTTTTAGGTTGGATAGAGGGAGGGTGATGGATTAAAATGGCAGTAGGAGCATAGAATGATTTAAACTGTTATTTCATGCACAAAATAGTTTATTCTAAAGTACTTTTCACTCCTGTGAAAAATCAGTAATTCACTCAGGTCATCACTAAAATGTGTTAAAGTGTTCTGATGTGCCAGTGCAATGCACAGGTGCTCTCWCACTTTCTCARCTACAAAGAACCAATTTRTCTGCATTTAACTCTGCTTTATGAGGTTAAATACTCTTAACCAAAAGCTGAATGCAGTGGTAGCTCCCAGTGTGTATTGATCTGGCTGCTGAGATTGGTTTTAATTAGTTTTAATTGGTTTTAATCCATTTGATTGCTGTTGAACAGCTCGGTGTTAATGGTTCTGGGTTTTCTGAGCCAGGTGTGCAGTCTGCTGGGCACAGCACACCTTGGGCACCAAAAAAATTTAAAAGGAATTTGGGAAAACCTCGTGTTTTTCACAACTTTTTTAAGGCACTGACTCCATTGAGTTRTTCTCCCACATTTCAGTTGGGAGCCACTGTGCCATGAGCCTTCTCACAAGCTGCTCTCCCACTAAACAAATAAACAATTTACCTCTGTTCCCTCTGCCTCGCCTTCCCCACATGTTCTGAACATGCTCTCAGAGTTTATTGGGGCTTGTCTCAAGTACACTTTGAACAAATGAAACAGAACAGATGTGTGTTTGCTCTRAAGRAGWAAAAGGAAAAAGKGGRACAATATTTTATTTGTTTTCAGTTTCAGGAATCTTAGTAACCTGTAGGAAACTCCATGGTTAATCTCAGGAGTAAATTGCTCTCTGTGTTAAGTGGTTTCCAGGGAGCAAAATACATTTTCAGTGTAATAATTTCATAATCTGTGCTGGGTGAGTGATCCTGAACTGGAGATTTATTGCCCATAGTCTTTAARGAGCMTTTTATTTAAGCATCAGGATTAGGYGATRTGGTTTAAACCTGAATAATTCATAAATGTTGCTGATTTAATAAATCAGTAAAGAAATCTATAGAATTTCAAAGCTGTTATTTGTGTTTAACATTTACCAATGGGATTTTTCTGGGTTTCTAGATGGGGAAGAAATTCAGTGGGCTGGAGCTCAGCCTGATTGTCCTCTTCTCCCTGGTGACCGTGGTCCTCTGTGTCCTCATCGGGCTGATGGCAACAGGACAGCCCGGGGTGAAAAGTCCAGGTCAGTTTTCTTGAAAATKGAGTTTGTTTGAAAACTTCATTGCTTCCCCAGGCTGGGAATGTCCAATATCCAACCCTGAGTGGGATCTGCTCTGCTCTGACTCAGTTCTGTTCTTATCCTTATCCAAAAGTGAATCATGGCCAGTCCTTCCCTTCCTATGGATAATGCAATCAAAGTCACCGGTTATGAACGTAATAAACGGTGTGACTCAGGATTTATTGTCATGGAAAGTCTTTTATCTCTCCCTCCCATTACTGGACTTTCTTTTGGAATATAGAGCTCTGATAATTTGAATTTTTTTGGAGTATAAAACAAGATGACACTGCAAAAAGGTCTCCCTGATCCCTACTCCATGTAGGAACAGCCAAATTGTGTGGAACATACATTATAATCCTAAAATCCCACAGTGTTTCTTGCTGATGTATTGATACATCAGGAACAACTTGTGACACTGAAATTATCAATATCACCCACATGCTCAAAAACTGTGATGTGGARTTGTCACTTCATTGTGAGCCATTTTCCAAAGGTCAAAATAAATCCTGTAAGCAATGTTTTATAGGGATTTGAATCCATGGTGCTGTTAGAGGTGCAGGAGGGTGAGGAGCAGCAGAAGGAGGTGCTGGGTCCAGAGGGACTCAAGTTATTCCTGCAGTTTAGAGATCCTGGCAATAACCCTTCCTTTATTTCCCTGACAGATTTTTATCCACAATGTCAGAAGATACCAAYAGAAGAGAGAATTGACTGCATCCCCGATCAATTAGCAACAAAGGTCTGGAAAATATTAGAAAATTGACTTTATCTCATAAAACCTCCTGCTTATTAAAAAAAAAAAAATGTAACTTTAAAATGCAACTCTACTAGATCAGATATTTTTCTTAACCTTTTTAAATCCGTGATTGCCCCAATATTTGCAGAGGTGTTCAGCTCCTGTCCAGCCATTCCAGCCCATTGACAGAAGGTGTGATTTCTTTGGTTTAGGGGAGAGGTGGCAACAGGCAAAATTACCCAGGCATCAAGCAGTTGTAAAACATAAAAAGTAATTTTTTTTTTTAAATTATTCTGGACAGTTTTATTTCAAAAGAGTCATCTCAGACTGGATGAGGCTTGGAGCAATGTGGGATGGTGGAAGTTTGCCTGCCTATGGCAGGGGGTGGAATGAGGTGATCTTGAAGGTCCCTTCTAACCCAAACCATTCCATGATTTTATGATGGCCTTTATTTTTCAGTGTTCTTACATTTAAAATTATACTATTTTATAACAGTCTTGAAATACTTTTTTTTTTCATTTTTATTATGGATTTTCTTGTTTTCTGCTGGATGCCTGGCATCTTTCTTTGGTTTGGAGAGGTGCAGCTTAGGAGAAAAACCCAGTGTGATGAGGGTTATTTCTGTCATTCATGGACATATAAAAATTGTTAACCAGCTGTCTGAACCTCAGAGGAAATTCCCCTCTAATTCCAGAGCTGGCTGTTGTTAGAGCCTCTCCTGCCGTGGGTTTTGTTATGATGTGTAGCTCAATAAAGTCCTGCAGGGGACAGGTTAGGAAAGGTTCAAATCACAGCCTGCTTCTTGACTGCCTGGGTTCCTTCCCTGCCCCAGGAATGTGCAGGAGAAGCTGTGCAGATCATTGAAATGTGTAATTACTGCCCTGGAACTGCTCACCCCACGTGCAGTGCTGCAATCCTCAAGCAGGGAGGGAACAGCTCTGGTGGCAGCTGCAAGGCTGGGGGGAGAAAGGATTAAAAATACTCAAATTGTGGATCCTGGTAGAAAAGGAGATGAGAATTGGGATGCTGAGGGTACCTGATCTGGAATTAGAGGCAAAATAAATGATTCCTGAATATCAGTGAAGACCAGGCAGCAAATTTCCTAGGGCTAGAGATAAACATCACCTTTACTACATGAGGAAAGCTGGGAGGTGCAGAGTCCCATCCCAGTGATTCCAGTCACTCCCGTGCACGTTTTTCCCTGGAAATGATTTGGTTGTGTCAGGTTTCACCAGTACAGCAGAGCTGTAAAACACAGGTACCTGCATGGAATAACCTCACCCTTCTGCAGCCATGTGTACTGATGGCTTTCAGAACAAACAGCAGCTGGGMAATGAGGATGTGGCTTAGCTGATTGAGAAGGTTCAGTGCCTTGGTTTCACTGAAGATATCCAGAATGGAGCCAGAAAATGAGTGGGATTGCAGAAAATAGAAGTAAATAAAGGAAGGAAAGGGGAAGGAAGGAAGAAAAGAAAGAAAATAAATAGATTTACAGTGTAAAGGGTTTTCTCTTATCCAGGGCTGTTCCCAATCCAGCCTTGGCTTCCCTGGCTGTTGGTAGCCACTGTGCTGTTTTTACAGCCCTGCAGGGATCACCTCGTTATTCACACCAGTGACAGGTTACTGCCAGGAAAAGATCCAGCTGGGAAAATATCACTGGACTGGGAARTATCTGCTGGAAATAGTTGAGAAGTATTCGGGAGAAATGGCTRGGGAAGAGAAAAGGGTGTTTAGGARGCTGGGAATGTGGATGMTTGAGCYGCCAGGTTTTAGGAAAATCAGTTTTTTCTGGTTTTAATGGGATGGTCACTGGCCTAGGAAGGGAGAAGAGGATGGAGATAGGAAATCTGTTTGTATATTTAGGGTATTCCCCTATATATRAAGGAAATTAAGTAAGAGAATAAAGCTGTGATCTTGGAGAAGTCAGTGCTTCCTCTCCTTTACTCTGCAACAGTAAAAAAGGGGAAATGGGGAGTTTTAGTGGGATTTGGGGAGATGGAAAGGGAGCCTGGGTTTTCAYAGCCTTACCAAGGGCATCAACTTGTGTGTCATAGTGGGGGGACAATGAGTCCCTGCGTCTCTCCTGAACCATGTTTTTGTCTTAGACCCTGATGAAAATGACAGCAAGCATTTTCTGATGGGACRAATCCATGGCAGAGAGACAAACATTTACCTGTTTCGTGAATTTGGGATTTATTTTGGGTCATTTTGAGCGATTCCTGGGCTCTGTGCAGGCACTATCTAATAAATGCACTGAGACTCCCCAAACCAGTGGCTCTGTGAGCTCCCTTGGGGCTTCCTTCAGTACCTGATTGCTGGGCTGGAGCTGCCTTTTCTTTTATCTGTTCAGAGGCTCTGGAAAGAATTGGGCTTTGAAAATAAACTGACCAGGCTGGGCTCTCTAACCCCAAAACAAGGACAGCAGCAATGAAGATTTTGGGCAGTGCCTACCTATTTTCAGCTGCAGAGTATTGTAAATATTTATCACAAATACCAAAAGCATTTGAGCTCAATCAGATGAAGGCAGAAAGAGTTTCTGGCAGTGGGCAGGTGAGGTTTTGGAGGTGTCCTTGTTGAATTTGGATACCTGGGATCACTGATGGACGTCACCCTTTGCTCTCAGTGAGAGTTGTATTRCCACTGCACTTCGCCCCAAGTAATGAATGGAAGTTTAAGGTGAGAAAATGGGTGGAAACTTAGAGATRAATTGTCCAAATCTTATCTCCAAGCATAAAGCTCACACACAGAGCACATGAGCAAGTTAATTTCTAACAGCAAAGCAAAGGAATTTCAGTATATTAAACTAATGAATGGGAGAGTAAAGGTTGGTGCCACTACACTGRGATAGAGGTTTCAAACTGGTTTATTTTTGGGTTTTGTTGTTTAGTTGATTWTCTTTTTAAATAACTGATTTATCTTAATTTGAAGCTCTGCAGAAAGAGCCTGAGCTTTTCTGATATTGGAAAATTATATTAAAATGTAGTTATTATACACAGTGTTCAATCATGCATATCTAGATGTTTATTGCATGTCAATCCCACAGTAAATTTTACCCCCTCTCCAGTGTGTGACTGCTGGTCAGAATCTGCAGGATCTGTCACAGCTTACATGTTTCAGTAATTCTTTTAAAATGTTTATTTTACCTGTGGATCTTGTGGTTTAAGAAAGAATGCTTGTCCAATAAGCAAGTTGACTCTGAACCAGAAAAAACTCTCTTTAGTTRTTCTGTGCCACTGAGTTTGCTCAGTAGGGTTTTTCACAGGAGGATTTGATCTGCTTGCAGATATTATTGAATGTTTGGGGTGCAAAGCACTCCATGTGCACTTTAGCTGGTCTGGTATGGGTTGATTTGTGTAAAATCAGATGTTAATTTGTTAATTTGTGCCCTGCTGTCCCCATTCAGAGCACCTGCTCCCTGCGTGGCTGCTGCTGGAGCCCCCAGAGCRACACCAGCGTGCCCTGGTGCTTCTTCTCCCCGAAACACGGCTACAAGGTGAAGGGYTCCCAGAGATCCACGCAGGCAGGTGAGCTCGGGGTGAGCCCCCCATCCCCACCCCCTCATGTCCCATCCCACACAACTCCTGGGGTTTTTCTCCCAAGGCTTTGAGGCCACRTTGAAGAGGCTGCCATCCCCTTCCCTCTTCGGGAACGACATCCAGACYGTGCTGCTCACGGGAGAGTATCAGACCGCTAACCGCTTCCGATTCAAGGTCAGCCTTCGTCCTGCTCTGCTCCAAGGGTCGTYTTCTCTGTGGGATGTGAGGTTGGCTGTGCAGGGAGGGCTGGGTTGGTCCTTCTGCAGCACTGTCATAATTTCCATTGAATTCCTTTCATTGCCCTCCCTGCTGCAGCAATGCTTTGGGTTAATGGGCTCTTGGCACGGTGGGAATCCTGCATGGAAAATCACCGAGACCTTTGAAAAGCTCAGCTTTCCTCTTCTCTGCCATTTGTCCTCATCACAGGAAGATTTCGGGCATAAATGCATTTATTTACTTTTTATTTATGGCCCGGTCCCATCTCCCAATCATCTTGACAGACATCATTAGCTTTTCCAAGGATTTGTGTTTTCAATGGAAAGCTCCATAGTTTGTGCAGTATATGTGGGGTTTGAGGGAGGCTTTGGGCTGTTGTGGGTTCCTGGTGAGCCATGGAAACACTGAGTCAGACATTCTGAGGAAAATGGCAGAGAATGAGTAATTAAAGTTGAAAGCGAATAACAATAAAAGCAGAAGAGGAGGCTGGGATAGGAATGGAAATCCCTGAGTCAGAACTACATGTAAATGCTGTAAAATATTCGAAGTGGGGATCAGTTTGTAAAGGGCTTACATTTGTGCTGTGTAAATGTGTGCAGCTCACCGACCCCAAGGCGCAGAGGTTCGAGGTTCCCCATGAGCACGTGCAGCCCTTCACGGGGTCGGCAGCCCCCAACCCCAACTACAAYGTGGAGCTGCGGCACGACCCCTTCGGCATCGTGGTGACCCGTGCCAGCAAGGGCCGCGTGCTGTGAGTGCTGCTGGGGACACTTGGGGACACTTGGGGCTCTCTGAATGCCACTGGGAGCTGTCCTGCCACACAGAGTCCACCTCTTCCCTCCTTTTGATGGGTGGATGTCCCTCAAGGACTCCTGGGAGCAAAGTCTGTCATAAGGGAAGCTCTGTCTGTTCGAGGTGTGGCTCTCTGAGCACTTTCCCTCATCTCAATGTGGGGAATTTTTATGGGCTGAGGGACTCTGTGCCAATGCTTCAAACCATGTGGGGAAACTCCTCGTTGCAGCTTTTATCTCCTTCGCTACAATCATGCTGGAGTTCTGAATCACTAAAATCAGGGTGCCCTTTGGAATCCCCAAAATCAGGACGCCCTTTGGAGTCCCCAAAATCAGGGTGCCCTTTAGACCTTTGGTATCCAAGGGTAGCTGATCGTGTCAGGCTGTGTGTAAAATATTTAATGAGCTTGAACGTTGAATTCTCTTATCCCATTTAGGTTCTAAAAATAAATAAGCTAAACTCACCAACCTACAGGTGTCCAAGTGCCCTCAGAGAGGGAAAGTGTCAGGATGAACATAATTATTAAATCAGCCAGCAATGATTACCTGTCACAGGGCTGGGTTACCTGGATTATCAAGGCTTCAAGTTTAATTAATTGAAGGTTACTTTTTGTTCTTATTAGTATTGTTTTCTTGTCTGGAGTCCTTTGCAATGATTGATTTGCAAGCACAGAGGGCACAGAAGATGGGCTTGGCAGTCAGTGGGGCCTGACTGATTAAACAGGTACAGGAAGGGGGACTGGACACCTGTAGAACCGTGTTAAAACAACTCCTGGGAATATTGTCTACRTTTTTCTTAGGCTTTTGTCCAATCTAATAAAAGCATTTGCATTTGGGTCTCTAGAGAAAAAAATGACAGCGATGTTGGACTTTGAGTATCTCAAAGGAAACTGTTTCTACTGTGGGCAGCCCCTCAGAGATAAATCCCTGAAAAATTCATTTGCACAAAATCACTGATTTTACCCCAATTCTTAAACAGCCCAACAAAAGAGAGGCCTCTTTATGAAAGGACAAGTGGGGACTTGAGCTGTGATAGTTCAGTATCAGAATAATCAGGATTTTGGCAAACTCTGTGCTTTTCCATCATCATTTGTCCCACCAGAGGCCCCAAAAGAGAGTTCTGATCCCACCAACAATTGGAAGAAAACCTGAAAGATCTGGGTGAAACCCCAACTCTGTCATCCAGCTCTGGCTAAAAGGAGCATAAACTGTTCTTTCGACAAATTCTTGTTAAAACTCTTCCTTTCCCCCTTTWTTCTTGCCCCTCTCCACCAGGTTTGACACGACCATTGGTCCCCTGCTGTACTCTGACCAGTTCCTGCAGCTCTCCATCAAACTGCCCAGCAGCAACATCTACGGCGTGGGCGAGCACGTGCACAAGAAGTACCAGCACGACGTCAACTGGAAGACCTGGCCTATGTTCAGCAGGGACACTGGCCCTTCTGCAGTGAGTTTGGGGGTTTTCCCCTCRTTTTTTGCAGCTCTCTAACCCAAAMCTCTCAGGCAGTGATCACACCMGTGTATCCACTATTTCCTTACAGATTTTTCAGGCAGTGCATGTTGTCCGTGAAAGCTCAGTGGCACTGGTAGATGTTCCCTGATTTTTGTGTTTGATTCSAACTGTATTTCTRTTARTAAAAYCAGATAAACAAGGCTGGAATTAGCCCCAATTTCATGCTAAGATTCTCCTTTTGTGTTGGTGAGCAGGGGRAAATCAGAGGATAAACCTTGATAGATGAGTCTTCAGGCCTCTGCTGATAATCAGAATAAATAACACACTAAAAAACAACGATGTGCCCTGGTGCTTTGCTGTGTGTTGGGTTTAGTTCAGATGGGCCAGGTTGCTTCAGGGACACCCTCGTGGTTCTCAAATGATGGAAAAGTTCTCTTCAACAGCTCTTTCCAGAAAAAAAATATGTCTGTTAGCTGTTACTTGTTTCCATCGTTTTTCTGGCWGTCCCTTTATGAAACAGTTTTTGTCATCCCCATTTTTTGATAATTGTAAGTTTATTTTCACCATTACCTCTGCTTTGTAAAGCAATTCCCTGCTTTGAGAAAGAACTTTTTTTCTGCTGCAATAGGAATGATACTGGCAGAAACAAGAGGGTGAGATGGCTGTGTGGAGTTAATTAATAATCTGGAATTTGTACCCATTGTCTTGAGATTCYCTCTCACTCTTTTGTCTGGTTTGAAGATAGCTCTTCACTGAAKGGCTCCACTGAGTGTAGGCTCATTAAGATAAAAGAACAGTGAACAGAGCTAAGTTAGGCTGATCTCAAATTGCTCAGGTTCTGTTTCCYGTTCATTTGAACTGGATTTGCTTTTTCAGGAGAAAAAAATAGAACTATTGCAACAATAGTTAGCATTTCTACGGGGTTTTGTTGCTAAGAATAACAACAGAAATTAAAAAAAAAAATATTAGCAAGGAAATGACAAAGCAGCAAGGCACTCTCCTATTTCCATGGATTAGACATCAAAATTATCACCTTGCAGGATTAATAGAAATGTAGATTAGATGCAAAATCTAATGTAAAATTAGATGTAAAATCTAATCTATGGTGAGAGGGGATGGGAGCACAAGTTCTCCWTGATGAGCACATTCATTCCCCAGAAACAGAGCTGCAATATCTGCCAGCCTGCCTGGAAATCCATCAGAGCTGCTCTCTATTTATTGGGGAAACTCTTGTTTTAATGGGAAATAAAGGAGAATAACACCAGGARAAACAGAACATCTAAATCAGRGAAGTGGCAGGATTTAAATTTTTGKTTTTTGCTCTATTTTGAGAAGTTTCAAGTTCCACCTGTTATATATTTTGAAATRTTCCAGAACAGATCCTGTTAGATTTTAATGAGCTTTCCTGTTCCCTTTATTATTTTAGGCAATGGATAATTTATATGGAGTCCAAACTTTCTTCCTGTGCTTGGAAGACAACACTGGAGCYTCCTTTGGTGTTTTCCTGATGAACAGCAATGCCATGGGTAAGGAAGGTTTCTCTGTGGCTGAGCAGTGCAGTTAAATTTCTGTTAAAATTATCTATTGGGTTGTGATCAGAACTGAACTGATGTAGATGTCCCTTCTTAAAAACACCCCCAGATATCTGAGAGCCCCGTTACCCTGTGTTTAACAGTATTTCCCACACACAATGCAAGCAGTGGGTAACTCCCAGTTAAATAGAAGATTTTTTTTGGAAATCTTCCATGGCAGAAACTTATCCAAAGCCTGTACATGTGTGTGCTGGAATAAARGATTAAATTTGTAGTGAACAAGACTTGGACGTAAATGTCCTTTAGTCCCTTCTTTTATTTATATTTACAGAGCTCTGCTTGAGGCTGGAAAGTTGCACTAAAAATTAGGAGATAAAAGGTTCAAACCTTGGATTTCTTCTGATCCTCTTCTCTGTAGGATATGARGGAATGGAAATATGGACACATAAAGAATTACCTGATTTCCCCTTCTCTGTCCAATTCATGGTTTTGGGTTCTTCAGGCATTTTGTGGTTTTTACTCCAGTAAACTCTCTAATAATCCATTTGAAAACAATAAAGCTATTTTAGAGTTTCCTGTTGCTCAGAGCTGTTTTTGTGTACTCTTGTCTGGCAGAGTTTGTGGTGCAGCCTGCTCCAGCCGTGACCTACAGAACCATCGGGGGCATCCTGGATTTCTACATYTTCCTGGGGGACTCTCCAGAGCAAGTGGTCCAGGAGTACCTGCAGGTACCTTCACCCTCAGGGATTATGCATTGAACAGATTTTCTTTAAAGTGCTTGGGATTTATTTTATAATATTTTTCTTCTCTGGGTGCTGGAGTGGAGACAATCGAGGCTCAAAAACTSCAGAATTCAATAATCTGTAATTCGCATCATGGTCATTAGGGCTGGAGATGATCTCTTGAACAATTTATGTTTCCTTGCTTATGTCATAAGGACAAATTATGTTTCATTATATGTAATGTATAAATATATAAATTGTGTTATGCTATACATCCTGTTCATATGGTAATATTATGGGCTATACAGTGTGTTTATAGGATGTCCGGATTTTATGATCATAAGATTTCACTGGGTGCCTTTTGCTCTTCTTGAGACCTGCTCAGGTTCCAGTGATACTTAAAAAAACATGTCCCAAAATAGTGGTAATTCCTAAAATAAATAAATAGTAGGGACAGAATACTGAGTATGGGAGTGAGCTGCTCGTTTCATGTGTGGTGTTCCAGCAGATTTGAGGAATGGGGGTGGGGGAAAGGGGCTGAGGTGGCACAAATTGTCCAACATCACRTGGGGTTTTTGCTGTCCCCTGGCAGCTTGTGGGACTGCCAGCCCTGCCCTCCTACTGGAGCCTGGGGTTCCAGCTCAGCCGATACGGATACAGCTCCCTGGACGAGGTGAAGGAGGTGGTGAAGAGGAACAGAGACATTGGGCTGCCCTACGTGAGTATGGGGTTTGGGCAGGGGGCTGAAATCCTGGTGTCCAYAATGGGTTCATTTTCCATCTGTTTGGATTGGGAAATGGGTGGTGTCAGAGGTTTTGTGTATTTTGATGTCAGACCCGTTATCAGACCATGGAATGTCATTATCAGACCATGAAATGTGGTGAGGCTTAACCACAGTAAGATTTATTCAAGCAGTTGGTTGTAATATTTTTTCTTTTATTCTTTCCAACTCCATCCATTTTTCTTCTCATTAAACGTATTTTTTCACTGTCCTATGGATAGTTATGGGACCATATATTATTCTTATTTGACAGCCAAAGGTAAAGTACAATTAACTTTTAAAATTAGATTTTACGGGACACGCACATGATGCCTTCAATAGAATAAAAAACCTTAATATTAAGCTAATATTTGGGAAGAAAATGGACTAATAAAAAACTTTACCCRTCACTTCTCACGGAAAAGCTGAACTCCCTTCCCTTTCAGGATGCCCAAGTCATTGATATTGATTACATGGAGGCAAGGAAGGATTTTACTTATGACAAAGTGAAATTTAAAGACCTCCCTCAATTTGCAGCTGATCTGCATGACTATGGACAAAAATACATCATCATATTGGTAAGCATTTAATTATTCTTTTTTTTCCCTCATAAACACCTTCATTTCAGTTATTTATTATTATTCTTCTAAGTAATTTTTTCAATCATAGCCTGTCATAATTGATGGAATATCCTGATTTCTTTTTTCTTGGCTGTTTTCTAATTTCTTTAGGATCCTGCTATTAGCACCCAGAATCTGGCTGATGGGAGTCCCTATGGAAGCTACGTCAGGGGAACGGAAAGGAAAGTCTGGRTTAACGAACCAGATGGAACAACACCATTGATTGGGGAGGTAATTGTGGTTTTATTGTGGTTCTACACATTGGAACTTGATCTGTTGTCCCTGCTATGATTTRATTTCCCTCAGGGGACTTTTCTGCTAGTGAGAGCAATTTTTGTAAGGTCGCTTATAGAATATAATCCTCAACCTTTCTTTCAAATTTTTCAAATCCTCAACTTTTTTTCAAATTTTTCATTAAAAAGGTATTTTTTTCCTTGATTTTGCATCTGAATTAATATTTTAAGTGTTTCTTTTTTGAAAGAAAAACAGAATTAAAATTGCAATTAAAATTACCTTTGTTCACATCAACCCTTAATTTTGTTTACATTAACACTATTTTTTTTTTTTACATTAAATGGTAATTTTAAGGCTCAAGGGACAWTTCATCAGCCAGCTCCTGTTTATTTCCAGAGGCAACTGAAGAGCCTGATCCCACATTATCCTTTTCATTTATAACCTTAACTTATATTGAGAATTTTCTCAGCTGTGTATTGTTTCTTGTAGGACTTGCAAGAAAAAGAATTGAAAAATCCAAAGTTAAATTCTGACTCTTTCTGTGTCCAACCTGAGCAGATCTATGATCCTAGAAACTCTTTTTATTCCCACTCAAAGTGTAATTAACTATTTCCTTTTGAATATTCCAGGTGTGGCCAGGGGAAACGGTGTTCCCRGACTTCACCAACCCTGAATGCACGAACTGGTGGGCAGAAGAATGCAAATTGTACCACGATGAGGTGCCCTATGATGGGCTCTGGATTGTGAGTAACACAATTTTTATTTATTTATTTAATTTTTTTTTTTTGGTGATAGCAAGGTTTATTACATTAAATTTTTATTGAATTGAAAAGTATTTTTATTGTCAGAAAGGAGATATTTGCTATTAATAAATCCTTCAAGGATAACAGAATGGAATGGAAGGGTTTTTTTTTGGGAAACCTACTTAAGGCAGCTTTATTCCACCCTGCATCTTTCCTTTCCAGGACATGAATGAAGTGTGCAACTTTGTTCAAGGCTCAAAACGTGGCTGTGCACAGAATGAATTAAACTACCCTCCTTATACTCCCAGTAAGCCCAGCTACTTTAAGCAGAATAATAAATTATCAAATGAAATATTAATTGCCTTCAAGGAKACAACATAATTTTAATGCTGTTCTTATGGGTGGGGTTTGGACTTTGCTACTGGCAGAAGATAATATTGATGTGCTAGCATTTGTATCCTTCAGTGATTTATAGAGCTGCCTTTTTTGTCAAATAATTAGTGCATACTGTCATTGCCTTCATTATGTCTGAAAAGGTAACGAGCCTCCTGCACTATCAGGAGTTTTTGAGTTATTTKTAGAACCAGCACAGAGTTCACAGTTTGTATTAATAGCAGGTTTAAGTAACCTTTGCCAGCGTGTTGGCAGATGGTGATTCAGGAATTCAGAGCACAGTTCTCAGCTCCTTGGGTGGGTGCAGAGTGGAAATATCRGGCGTGGAAATATCACAGAGCAAAGAGCAATCAAGCCAAGAGCAGCATTTTGGGTTTGGAGTAATTAAACTGCCTGAATGCAAGAATAAARAGAAAAAAAGGGGCTTGGATTTTATAAATCAGCAATGAAGAAAAGTTTGGAAATATTAATAATAAAAATATAAACATAAATATATTATTAGATATAACTTAACAGTGCTGATTTTATTCCTTTCTTCAAGGAATTCTTGACAGGCTCATGTATTCCAAGACGGTTTGCCTGGATGCAGTGCAGAACTGGGGGAAGCAGTATGATGTCCACAATCTCTATGGATATTCCATGATCTTATCCAGTCACAAGTAAGGAAAACATCCTAAAATCCCAAAGAAAGGTTTAGGAACAGTCCATGTGCTGCGCTTTCCAAAGCACCATGGACTTTGACTCCTGAAGGAATGAGATTCCTGGGAAATGCTGTGTTTGGTTTAAGCCAATTAAGCCAAGGCAAAATACACAGCCTGGGGTTGGTAGGAAAAGCCACAAATTGGCTGTCAGAGCTGTGTAAAAAGATTATTTCATATGAATATTTCAAACTTTGCTAAAACACACCTGCAAAGGAGTCCCCATCCCTGTGATGAATGATCAGTGCAGATCAGTATATATCTGCTTTATACAGAATTRTCMATGTCTGAGCTGTTTTTTCCTCCCYATAATTCYGATTTCATTCCTTTCCAGAGCCATTGAGAAGGTCTTTCCTGGAAAGAGAAGTTTCCTGATTTCGAGGTCGACATTTGCAGGGTCGGGGAAGTACTCGGGTCACTGGCTGGGGGACAACGCAGCCACGTGGGATCAGCTGAGATGGGCAATCCCTGGGATGCTGGAGTTCAATCTCTTCGGAATTCCTTACGTAGGATATCGCTTTGTGTCATCCTTTCAAAGCAGATAATGGATCATCTAACCAAGATTATTTAGCCAAACACTCTCTGAAGAACCACTTACACTGTCACCTCAAAATGAACCCTTTTTAGGACTCTCCTTTGCACATTTCCTTTCAATTATCCCATTTTGATTTAGGCCATTTATTTTGACTTCTGTGGCTGTGGTGAGAGAGATGTTTGTAGTAACAAACATATTATCTTATATACCCCAATCTACCTCTCTAGTAATGTTTCATCATGAGTTAGGAATGAGTGAAACGATTCCTGGTTTTCTTATTTCAAATTAGAGACATCCATTTGGAAAGTGAAATAGCCCATTTCCTTTTTATTATTTAAATTTCAATGGTTTTGATGGCTTTTCCCCATTCTATGCATATTATCACCAATGAGAAAGGTAAAAGTTTGGGAGAATCAGATTGATGGGCAGTTTTAATGAGGTGTCAGCTTGATTTTTTTAAATTTTTTTTTTTGACAGCATGGCTGGATTTGAAAGAAGAAAGGTACAACAAATGTGTTGAACCTTTCAAGGTGCAGAACACTGTACAGCCAACAAATTCTGATTTATTTTTTTCCTTTTAAGATTGGAGCAGATATTTGTGGTTTCAGTGAAAACACCACAGAAGAGCTGTGCAGACGATGGACCCAAGTGGGAGCATTTTACCCATTTTCCAGGAACCACAACTGCGAAGGTTTTGTGGTAAGTTGGGCTTTCTGTGGATTTATGTGATGCAATCCCTTTTTTTTTTTTTTTATATCACCTCTATAATCATTACTGTCACTGAGCAGTTTGAAAACAGAATTGTCTTTATGAAATATGAGGTGTGAGAGGCTGRGTTTCAGAAGGGTTAATTGAGAATACACTGCTTTGGTGACAGTTTTATAAATATTGGWTGCACTGAGGTATGTGTGAGCCATCAAACCGGCTCCTGGGAGCCCCCTGGCATGAGYCTGACTGCCAGGAGGAATCCTGGAGTAACCCTGAAGGACAAGGAGGGATGTGCAGGGCAAACAGCACAGAGGGACAGGACGGGACCAGAAAGGAAAAGCCAGAGCTGGGCTGCCCCACTGAGCCCCAGCCTCTCTTAAACAGCTTTTCAAGCCTTTGGCACAGAATTTTTGAAAACMTGGAAATGATAATGTCTGATTTTTGCTTCCAGGACCAAGATCCAGCTGTGTTTGGGGCCGACTCGGTGCTGGTGAACAGCTCCAAGCACTACCTGAACATCCGCTACACTCTGCTGCCCTACCTGTACACKCTGCTCTACAAAGCTCACCGCTACGGAGCCACGGTCGTGAGGCCACTGCTGCATGAGTGAGTCTGTTCATCASCCTCTGGGGTGGTTTTATGGCCAACAGGAAAATCAGGCACATTTGATTTGGCTGRGGGGCTTTCGAAGCACCTACCCTGTGAAAATGCACATTGGGATGTGTGTAGATGACTTCCCAATTAATGAAATCCCATTTTGGTGTAATCAGAAGGGGGTTTTTATAAACATTCTGTAGTGGGCAGTCAGTACCCTGATGGTGTAGATCACAAAAACTCAGTTCCTGTTCTATCCTTCACATTTATCCAGGTTCTACTCTGATGAAACCACGTGGAGCATCGACAGGCAGTTCCTGTGGGGCCCTGGGCTGCTGATTTCCCCTGTTCTTGAGCCGGTAGGTTTGGCTGGTTTGGGATCTGCCTCGTAACYATGGGCCATGCTCAGCCACCAGTTCCCTCTCCTTTATTTATTGCTTCCAGTGAGAGAGCCCACAGCCCATTTTTTACTCCTGCTGAAAAGGAAAATCTCACAGTTTAATCCCATTCCTGTTTTCCACTCCTCTATGGAGTCAAAACATCTGGTCTCATTCTGCTTTACCTCATCTTCACATCTCTGAATTTCCTTTGGAGCCAGCTTCTCTGGCTGCATTTCAGCTTCTCTGTGGTGCAACAAGAAAACAAAAATATTCTGCCTTATTCTGTGGCAGAATCTTGTAAATAATGATTTCTCCTGCCACGGCGAAACATAAAACATTTGTTAAATACAGAGAGGGAAAGTGAGAATCTGAAAGGTGCCAGCCCCGAAAAATGTGGAAATAAAGAAGATCTAGAGATGCTTTTGGGTATGRTTTGATTCACTGGGTTTGAAGCGTTGTGACTTTGGGTGGCTTTCATGAGCTGCCACTTTGCAGAGCACAGTTCAGTTCCATCCCAGCAGCTTTGCAGGAATTGAGTTTGGGGTTGCTCTCCCTGCTCTGGGCACCATCCTAAACACCAGGAAAGAGAACAGCAAAGTGCAGAATTATCGATGATTTCCTCACAGTGGACTTTATTTTATTGCAAAACTGAGTTCCTTTGATTAAGCTGAATTATAAATTGTTTTTTATTCTCTTTTAGGGTGTGGAGCGCACCCGTGTGTACTTTCCTGATGCAGTGTGGTACGATTATGACACGGTAAGGGAATGCAGGGGGTATTATGGGATTTTACATAATTTTCTAACTGGGAATGTGATGAAATAAGATGGTCAGCCCAAAAGAAAGTCTGTGGGGTTACTTTGGAGACAAGGCATGAAGGGTGGTGGGCTAAGCACAAGAATCGATGCCTCAAGAGAAGACTCAAATTTGTGACATTAAATCAGAAAAATAAGCAATTGTTTTACCTGTGTGTGCCCATTAACCCATAGATATTTACACCACTTAAGCTTTTGTTCATAAGGAACAATTTTGATGAAGCTCAAAACTTGAGCAAACAAACACTCCCAGCAGTGAGTAATCCAACATTCCTGTTCTCTTTTCCACCTCTGTCATCAAGGGTGAGCCAATCCTTATGAGGAAATTATGGCACGATTTACCAACCCCAGCAGACAAAATGGGGCTGCACGTCAGAGGAGGATACATCTTCCCTGCTCAACAGCCAGGCAACACCACAGTGGCGAGGTAGGCTTCCAAATGGAATATTTTTATTGGTTTTCCCCACAGCTGAGGACTTTTTAGGTTACAAATAAGCAGCAGTCTGTTGTATTTTGTATTTTTACCTTGAAATGGGGGAATAGCTGGGAGCCAAACCTCACTTCCATACCTTCAGTGAGGAGCTGTGGTTTATTTGCATGGAAATTTGTAAACTCACTGTGTATTTTAATCCATTTATGTGAAAACGAATAGTAATCGATGATTAAACTTAATTAAGGCAATTCTCAAAGTGTTGTGACCCTGCTGGGTGTCACATCCTCATGTGACCATGGAGGATTCATTAAGGCTGTTCAGATGTTTGTTACACACATAAATTCTCTTTCCACAGCCGCAAGAATCCAATGGGACTCTTAATTGCCCTGGATGAAAACTACGAAGCCTCTGGGGATTTGTTCTGGGATGATGGAGAATCCACAGGTGAGCAGTCATCARTAGTGAAATAAATATGATTAACAGATCTTTAATATGTTCAAATTTCAACATTCCTGCTGGAAAGAAAACAGTGTAACACATTGCTACTACTTCCTCATAAATCAAAAGGTTTRCATCAMTTTYAAGTAGAAAACTGTGRCTATTACTAAGATTAAAGTCRCAATTTAATWYGACACAAGTAAAGAAAAAAGACACAAACTTCTAGTTYAAGGTCAAACCTGTAGTTTARGGTCAAAYCTTTCATTTTCAGGAGAAATCTTTAGATATTCAGGTGATTTCCCRTGGGATTTAGCCAAACCACTGCCCATCCATGGGCARTATCTGAACATCAACRTTTTAAAACTTTGCACYTYCMMCTKKWAMA